AAAAAAAAAAAATTCTAGACAAATAGAAAAAAATATAACTTAAGTAAAATGTATTGAAAAATTAAACAAAAACATTACAAAAGTTATACTAATTGTCATTGCTTAGCTTAAAATTTTTATCCACTAAAATATATTTAAAAATCAAAATATTTACAAAATTAACACAAAATCAAAGTCATTTTTAGAGAAAAAAAAAAAACTAGAGTTAACTTTAACCTCTTTTTATTACTTAAGATACTACTAAATAATAGTAGTAATATTAACAATCTCTTGATTTGAGTGGAAGAAACTCAATTCTTTTAAATAAAATTTCAAGTTTAAATATCGTGAATGTAAAAATAAATATTAAAACAGTTTATTTTTTATGAAATCCAATGCAATTCAATTTTAGATTAATTAAAGTTGACTTTCAAATTCTAAGAGATCAATATAGAAAAAAATAATAGTAGTGGCATATGCCGAATGTACGCGAGGCTTACATTGACTCTATGAGTGAAAATTTAATCTCCATATGTCATTAAAAAAATTATTTTAAAATAATTTTTGTATAAAATTTATCTTATATTAATTTTTATTTTTTAAAATTGACAATACTTTAACTTTAATTAATTATCTAATCATAAAAATTCTCTATTTCACTACAAGAAAAATGATTTTTAGTGACAAAAATTTGTGATGAATTTTGAAATCATCACTATAACTTATCACAATTGTAACAGATCTAAAAAATTAGTCACAGATGCATACATGTTTAATGATTAACAAAAAAATTCATCATAAAAATATATTTCATCATCGAAAAATGTTCATACTGATAAAATAAGCTTTTGTCAATAAAAATCATCACTATAATGCATTACAATTATGACAAAATTCTAATATTGGTCACATATACCTTACACATTTAATGATGACCAAATAATTCATCACTAAAAAATATATTTCGTCACTAAAAGCTGTCAATTTTCTCTAATCAATGCATCCCATATCGATAAAAAACACATAAGAGAATAAGGTTTTGCACTATAAATATATCCTACATCTATAAGAAATATTTAAGAAAATAAAATTTTGCACTATAAAACATGTGAAATTCAATAAACTTGAGATTAGTTTGGGTCTGACTAATTTTAATCGGACTTCATTAATTTTAATCAAAATTGATTAGTATTGAAATAATAATATTTTTTATTAAACTTTTGTGATAAATTTATATATTATTTTTTTGCGACAAAATTTTTGTTAAAATATTTGTGTTGTAATTATATAAATATATTTTTTATTTAATATCAATTTTAATAATTAATGACTAAATTTTTCATTACAATTGCATTTATGACGAATATTTTTTTGTAACGAATAAAATTGTTATAAATAACTTATTAA